ACAGCCACACTGCAAAATTATCAAAGCTCTACCTCTTTATTCCTGCTCCTGTTGTTAGTGAGAGGTTTTCTCTACCGCTGGAGATATTCACTGCAACTAGATCTGAGCTTTTGGCAGAAAATGTGGACAAGTTGGTCTTTTTGGCCAAAAACTTAAAACTTGATTAGTTAGATTGTAAACTGTCTGTTGCTGCTTATTGTTCTGGTTCTGACTCTTATTGTATTTATTAAGATTTGTATTATTGTTAGTATAGTTTATTTATTGTAAAGAGTGCCGTTTATTTAAAATATCATCCAAATGGGTCGCTTTATTTAGTTTTATTAGGGACGCACCGATCCACTTTTTCTTTTTTCCGATCCGATCCCGATACCTAAATCTAAATATCGGCCGATACCGATCCAGTTCCGATATCATGATCATCATAGATTTTATATGAGGCTGTAATAATCTCCTCTCAAGTACAGTTTGTACAAATATATGCATGCATGTCCAAAAAGACAACTTGAGGTAAGTTTTAGGACTCTTGACAGAATCAGAGCTGCTCTATTCACTGCTCTCTAAAATAGTCATTTCAATTCATCCTTTATTTAAACAGGTTATTAGTCTCATTGAGCCTCAAGGACTATTTTACAAGAGAGACCTGTTTTTAATAAATTTAATCAAATGTTTAAAGATGTTTAACAATCTAAAAAATGTTCAATCTGGTCCTCTGGACATACAAAAAAAAAAAAAAAAAATGTAGAAACGTTTCGTCTCTCATCCGAGAGACTTCCTCAGTCTGAGGTGCTGTATTCAGCTCAGTCTCTTAAATAGCACCTTCTCAGAGTGGATCAACCAGTTTGCTGCTGACAACCAGAACCAGCTGATCACATGCTCAAGAAGGACCATCAGCCTAACAATGGATCATTAGCACCTGATGGCTGTTTACTGTTCACAGAGGGCTGAGTGATACTAGCAATCACAGCATTGTAAGAGGGGGACAGTTGAACCCGGAGGCTCCGCCCCTGTTTAATGATGGACGGTTTCTTTTCACAAAGATGGCCTCCTTTACTCCTCTCTCAAACCATCGTTCCTCTCTGTCCAGGATGTGAACATCTTCATCCTTGAAAGACTAACTGGCTAACTGGCTCAAACACAAACTCACTCACTTTAACTCAAATTAACTGGCTCTAACCCAAACTACCTCACTTAAACACACACTAACTGGCTCTAAATAAAACTAACTCACTGTAACCCAAAATAAATATTTCTAACCCAAACTAACTCAACTTAAACCAAACTAACTGGCACTAAAACAAACTAACTCACTTTAACCTAAACTAATTGGTTCTAACCCATCTAACTCACTTTAACCTAAATTAGCTTGGTCTAACCCAAACTAACTTACTTTAACCCAACCTAACTGGCTATAACCCAAACTAACTCACTTTAACTCAAACTAACTGGCTCTAACCTAAACTAACTCACATCAACCCAAAATAAAAGGCTCTAAGCATAACTAACTCACTTTAAGCCAAACTAACTGGCTCTAACACAGACTAACTCAAGTTCAACCAAACTAACTAGCTGTAACCAAAACTACCTCACTTTAACCTAAACGAGTTAGCTCTAGCCCAAACTAACTCACTTTAACTCAGAATAACTGTCTGTAACCCAAACTAAGTCAATTCAACTCAAACTAACTCATTTTGACCCAACATAACTCATTTTAATCCTAACAACTCACTTTATTCCACACTAACTCACTTTAATCCAAACTAACTCATGTTAACCCAAACTAACTGTCTCTAATCCAAACTAACTCAATTTAACCCAAATTAACTGGCTCTAGCCCAAACTAACTCACTTTAACTCAGAATAACTGGCTTTAACCTAAACTATGTCACTTTAATCCAAACTAACTGGCTATAACCCAAACTAACTCAATTTAACCCAAACCAACTCACTTTAATCCAAACTAACTGGCTCAAACACAAACTTACTCACTTTAACCCAAATTGTCTCTAATCCAAACCACCTCAATTTAACCCAAATTTAACTGGCTCTAGCCCAAACTAACTCACTTTAACTCAAACTAACTGGCTCTAACCTAAACTATGTCACTTTAACCCAAACTAACGGGCTATAAACCAAACTACCTCACTTTAACCCAAATTAACTGTCTCTAACCCAAACCAACTCACTTTAACATTAAATAATTTGCTTTAACCAAAATGCTACTGGTGTTCATCGAGTTGAGGTTGTGGTGAACATTTCTGGGTGTTGTGCTAAATCCTTCCAAGAGGTAAAAGAATGAAGGGGTGTCAAAGGAAGGAGAATCTCCTCAGTCCCCAGCAGACTGACCTGTCGGAGAGCTTCTTGGCGAAACCAAAGTCAGTGAGGCGAATGTGTCCCTCGCTGTCTAGCAGGATGTTCTCAGGCTTGAGGTCTCTGTAGACCATCTCTTTGGAGTGAAGGTACTCAATGGCACAGACAATCTCAGAGGTATAGAACAGGCCTGAGTTGTTGCTGAATCGTCCGCGGCTACGCAGGTAGCTGAAGAGTTCACCGCCTGGAACGTAGTCCATCAGCATGTAGAGGAAGTGCTCGTCGTGGTGAGTCCAGAAGCTAGAGGAGGACAAACGACTGAATCATTAAAGTGGTGAGGATATGACCAACAACATGGATCAGCAAATGTTGGGAAGTTCTATTATCATAACTTTTATGGACAGGATTTCTCAGTGCAGCCCGAGAGCGGAGGGAGTCCAGTTCAGTGGCCTCAGAATTCCATTTCTGCTATTTGCAGATGATGTGGTCCTGTTGGCGTCAACGTGCCATGACCTTCAGCTCTCACTGGAGCGGTTCGCAGCCGAGTATGAAACGGCAGAGATGAGGATCAGCACCTCCAAATCTGAGGTCATGGTCCTCAGTTAGAAAATAGTGGCTTGCTCTCTTCAGGTCAAGGGTGAGGTTCTGCCCCAAGTGAAGGAGTTCAAGTATCTTGGGGTTTGTTCACGAGTGAGGAAAGAATGGAGCGTGCGATTGACAGACGGATTGGTGCAGCGTCGGCAGTGTTGCGGACTCTGTACCAGTCTGTTGTGGTGAAGAGAGAGCTCAGCTATAAGGCAAAGCTCTCTGTTTACCAGTCAGTCTACGTTCCTACCCTCACCTATGGTCACAAACTCTAGCTAGTAGGGGAGTAACGGTACACGAGGGTGTACCGGAACCTTTTCGGTAAGGCACGTTCAGTTCGGTCCACGTGCGTACCGTTTCGGTTACTTTTTTCACTCATTAAATTTTATAAATGAAAGATTATGCGCCGCAGAACTAAAGTTCCTAGGCGTGTTTCAGCACGGCGCTATTATCTTGAAGCACGTGTAGCATTAGCAGCCTAGCATGTCGTTGTGGTCTACTGTTTGGGAACATTACGTGTTTCTTGTTAAAAGACGAGTGGACAAATCCAAAGCTGTGTGTCGACGTTGTTTCACTGAGACTGGATCTGCAGCAGCAACACGTCTAACTTGTTAACGCTCTTGAAACGACAACATCCGAACGTGAGCGTCTCTTCTAGCAGCTTGGTTGATGCCAACACCGATAACAGCAGCATTTAAACAACTTTATCAGGTAATTCAGATCAGTCCAGATCAATAACACAAGCTGTAGGAGGTTTTAAAGCTCTGGATCTACGTTTCTGTTGTTGATGAGCCAACTTTAAAGTTCTTGAGCCCCGCTACGACATGACGTCAACACTTCAGCCAAACAGTTGTAGCAGCACTTTACGAAAAAGATAAAACTGATCGTCAACAAGCCCTGGAGCAGATTAAAGTCCTGTCCTGATGATGATAAACGAGAGAATCAACCACCTCATAACAGAAACGATGGCCGTTCAAGAAGAGGTATTGTTATTTTATTATTATCTAATTAACTTTTTTATTTAAAATTATATTATTAACTCATTTTTGTACCTATTTGTGTTTTATTTCCAGTCTGAGACAGAGATAGCAGCTGAGTCTTCCTCCTCTTCAGGGAAATCCACCAGAGATCACCTCCAGCTAAGAAGTCTGTGATGAGTGAACTCTGAACTTTTCCAGGGACAGGTGAGAGCAGGTCCAAGAGGTTGTGAGTGATGAGGACAAATACAGCCACACTG